TTTCACGTCGTTAGGCATCGTGGTTGGGAACCTAATGGATCGCACACAAAAGAGAATTGGAAGATTGTAAATTGTCAATTGGTTAATTTAACAATCGTTGGATAAATTAATTAATTGGATTTGTTATTTATATTCCCGAATTAATTAATTGGATTAATTAATTCACGGACCAGGTTTAATTAATTGGATTAATTAAATATTGGACTGGACCGGGCCGAGTCCGTTTGGGTTTATATAAGTACATAACTAAGGTTTGAGGTCCATATGATTTTCATTATTCTTGCTGGTACAAGAGAAAACCCTAGAAGCTGCAATCTTATTCTCTGTGTGGATCACCATTGGAGGCTGGACAATTGGACAGCTGTGGTGGCGAATCAAGGTTGTGGAACGAAAGGAAAAGCAAAAGGATTGTAGATCTGAAAAAAGGTACAATCTTATCACAATTTCTATCTAAACACAAAGGCGATTCTTGGTGGGAATTGAAAATTATTTTAAATTCCGCTGTGCATGTATAAGTAGATTCCCAACAGCCACACCGTCACAATTACCTCACAATCTGAAATAGTAGCAGAAACAAAACACCAATTGGTGTGGCTTCTCTGTGCTTGGCAACGAGAGAGCGGCGGCACAGCGTGCACTGAAGATAGGATGGGAGAGTGGCGACGTACGGCGTGGCTTGGCTTTGCTTTGCTTCACAGCAGTGAGCACGGTGCTTGGAGGTTGTCCACCACGACGACGATTTACATTTGAAGAAGAAGAGAGAGAATGGATTGATGTGGAGAAAGCATGTAAAGTGGAAACTAATTAGGATTTACATTGAAATTTGGTGGGTAGAGTAGATGGAGGTAGGTTTGGTATATAAATTAATTTAGTTTTAGAATAATATTATTAAAATTGAATTCATATCTAATTTTTATATAAACAAACTTTAAATTTGATTTTTGAAATTGTAACTTAAAAAAATCTGGTTACATGCAATTTCCACAATTTCTTCTCTTACCATGTGGGTTGGGACAAGACTGTGCTCCCCCTGCTAGATCTACCTCTGGAACCTAGTGATATTCTTTATCTTTTCTTTGTATTTTTATCACAATCATGAAGGGCTAATTGTTTATCTTTTTAGGATGAATGGTGTAGTTCAGGTTATTTATATTTATTTAATTTTAAGATTTCATGTCCATATTATCTTGTGCTAATTGCTTATTTTGTACAAGAGACAGCATATTACATTACTTAGACTCACAACTATAGATAGAGTGACTACAGTTAGAACCAAATCAAGTTGAATGACCTGATTGCTCAAAATTAGAATTTAGAGTCCAATTGCACGTTTGTTTATTATTTGACAATTTATCAACTCCCATGTCTTCACCCAATGTTTGTTTATAATCATAATGAAGCAGCCCTTCTCAATTAGTTTACGACATGGTCTCACTTAAAAGAAGGCAATATGCATCATATGTATTATACCTAAATAAGCATTGAAATAGTGTTTTTAAGTCGGAAGTTTTTCTATTTATTTATATCACACATGCCGTACATAAATTCTCTCATCTTTTGGTACAAATTTCACCATTTCTCGTATAACTCAATGCATTCTATTACCATTTTTGTGTTTGAGGATATCTGACATTTCAAAGTTAGAAACTGATAAAACAATGAAATACAACATAATGACATGGGGGAAAATGTAGTATCTTTCGTCTTTCAAGCATTGCAGTGATACTAAAATGTTGGAACAGCCCCTCGTACTCATATGGCTTTGGGAAGAGGAGGAGGAGGAGAAGAAGAAGAACACTTCAACTTTTGCGTAAATGCAGGTTGCTCTGGCCAAGGTAACTTATCAACATAACAGTTGATATATTCAGTCTGTTAAAAGGGAATTTTTGAACACACAATAATCCATTAGGTATGCTTCTCAAAATCTCTTTCAAGAATCTTGGCATTGTTGGGTATTATTGCTAACAAGTATTTGACTAAGATTGTGATAAAAAAGGAGGCAGAAATCATGTGGCGAACATTCATTTAGGCTCGAGCAAACAGAGGAGGCGCTTTGTAGGAAATAGAAGTGGAATTAGGAGGAGGAAATGATTTTCTATTCAATTGTGGACTTACCTTCAACTCAAGATTATATAGGTATTTATAGGACTTCCTATCACATAAGTTCATCCCCTCAATTTAATTCTACTAATTGCACCACAATTTACTAGGTACACATTAATTAATAATACATGCATACATGAACCACAATTAACTAGGTGCATATTAATTAATAATACATGTATTTCAAACTCCTAAATTCATGAAACTAAATTAAATATGTTAAATGCATGTTTATTTTTCTAACCCCCCCCCCCCCTTAAACATGAATTTTGCATACTCCAAGCAAGCTTCTTAATGCCTTGAAAGTATTGAACTTGAGAGCTTTGGTGAGAATATCTCCAATTTGGTCTTGAGACTTCACAAAATTAATCTTCACTACCTTGTTTGCAACGCATTCACACACAAAGTGATATTTGGTATCTATATCCTTGCTACATTCATGAAACAACGGATTCTTTGCTAAAGCAAATGGCTAATTTGTTATCCACACTTACTTCAGTAGGCTATCTTTGTGCAAAATGAAACTCATTCAACAAATTCCTTAGCCAAACTGTTTGTGTAACACAAGAACTGACAGCAACATACTCAGCTTCACAAGTTGACAGAGTAACAATTAGTTGCTTCTATGAGCTCCAAATAAAAGCTGTGTTACCCATGTAAAATACAAATCCACTGGTATTCTTTCGATCATCAATGTCGCCACCCCAATCACTATCACCGAAACCTCTAAGTCTGAAAACATTAGAGGCATAATAATGTAACCCGAAATCAAGAGTATCTTTGATGTAACGTAAAATTCTCTTCGCAGCTTTCAAATGTGCTGTCGTTGGAGCCTCTATATAACAACTAACCAGTCCTACTCCAAATAATATATCCGGCCTTGTACAAGTTAAATATTTCAGGCTTCCAACTAAGCTTCGAAACAAGGTTGGATCTACCTTTGCACCATCATCATATCTAAAAAGTTTGATGTTACATTCTACTGGAGTGTTAACTGGATTGCAATTACTCATGCTGAATTTCTGTATAACTTCTTTTGCATAATTTTCTTGTACGATGAAAATGCCTTCCTTTGTCTGCTTCACTTCTATCCCAAGATAATAGGACATAAGTCCTAAATCTATCATCTCGAATTCACAGCACATTTTTCTCTTGAATTCTTCAAACGTCTTTGGATTGTTGCCTGTAAAAATTAGATCATCGACATACAGACAAACAATCAGAACACCATTAACATTCACTTTAATGTAGAGAGCATGCTCATAAGGACACTTGGTAAAGCCATTTTCCTGAAAATATTTATCAATTCTACAATTCCAAACCCTTGGTGCTTGCTTTAGGCCGTAAAGAGCTTTCTTTAATTTCAACACTTTGTCCTCATTTCCTTTTACTACAAAGCTAGGGGGTTGTTGCACATAGACCTCCTCTTCAAGATAGCCATTGAGAAAAGCTGACTTGACATCCATTTGAAAAATCTTCCACTTGTTTTGAGCAGCCAAAGAAATTATCAGTCGTATGGTCTCTAACCGAGCTACTGGAGCGAAAACTTCTTCATAATCGATGCCTTGATGCTGTTTGTATCCTTTCATCACGAGTATTGCTTTGTATCTTTCCACCTCTCCTTTTGAAGTTTTCTTAGTTTTGTACACCCATTTAACTCCGATGGCAGCATGTCTCATGGGAAGAGTTGTTAATTTCCAAGTATTGTTATTCTCAATTGCTCCGATTTCTTCATTCATGGCTTTTCTCCATTTCTCATCCTCAACAACTTCATTAAAACTTATGGGCTCAATATTTGCAAATAGATAGAAGAAAGTAATATCATCAATTCTCTCGATTTCTCGATATTTATCATCAAGTCTTCTTGTACGCAAAGGCCTTTTACTTGAACCTCCTTCAAAAACATCAATTTCACCACGTGATGGTGATGTTGGAGGAGTGGTAGTCTCGTGTATTTCTTCATTGTCATCTTCTTCCTCCAAGAAAGGAAGAAAGTCATAGTAATCTTCATCAACATGTCAATTCCATATTGCTTCCTCATCAAAATCCACATCTCTACTAATAAACAACCTCCCATAACTTGGATATAGAACTTGTAGCCTTTTGTTTTTGAATCATAGCCAACGAACACACTTTTTACTCTTGTCATCAAGTTTCAAACGCTTTTCATCAAGAACATGGACATATGCAATGCATCCAAATACCTCCAAATGAGATACTGCTGGTTTTCCCCATTCCATGCTTCAAGTGGAGTCTTGTGGGCTAAAGCCTTTGTGGCACACCGGTTCAACAAGTAGACAGCACAATCAACAGCTTCTGCCCAAAATTCGTTTGGCATTTTCTTTGTCTTCATTATGCTTGTTGCCATATTGAGAATTGTTCAGTTCTTTCATTCAACAACTCCGTTCTGCTGTGGAGATCTTGGAGCGGTTAGGAACCGACGAATTCTGTTAGCATCACAGAAGTCTTGAAAATTTCTGGAAGTGAATTCACCTCCTCTATCTGATCTCACAGCCTGAATTTTAAATCCACTTTTTTTTTCCTACAAGAGCTTTAAAATTCTAAAAGCATTTAAACACCTCCAATTTTTCTTTTAGAAAATACACCCATGTTTTTCTACTGAAATGATCAATAAACAAAAGAAAATATTTGTTCTTACCAAAAGAACATAGAGTGATTGGCCCACATACATCAGTGTTTATCAATTGTAGTTGCCTTGAAACTCTTGATTGAGATACTTTTGGAAAGACCTTTCTTGACTGCTTACCAAAAAGACACCCTTCACAAAGCTGATTAGGCTGATGTATTGGAGGCAAACCTTTCACCATTCCATTGCTAGCCATTTTTTTGAGCCCTCCAAAATTTATGTGCCCAAATCATAAATGCCACAACCATGACTAGTCTTTATAACACGACGTCAAACACTTAGCCATATCAGTTTGTATGGACAACACAAATAAATGATTTTTCAACATAGGTACTTTAGCAATCAAATTTCCTGCATCATCCTTTAAAAACACATTGCAACCTTTTATGAACAAAACATAGCCTTTCTCCAATAATTGACCCACACTCAAAATATTACTCCTCATATTTGAAGCATAATAAACTTTTGAAATAAATTGGTGATTTCTATCTTTCATATGTATCAAGATTTTACCTTTCTCCTTTACTGGTATTTTGGAGGAATCCTCGAATGTGATATTGCCACCAACCTTCTCATCAAGCTCTATGAACAAATCTTTGTTCCCAAACATGTGATTACTAGCTCCAGTATCAAGGAACCAAGAATATTTTTCTCCTTGCTACAAGTCCTTGCAAGCTATTAAAAGAGTAGACTCTATCTCTTCATTATTTTCTATAACTTCTTCATGAGAAAGGTTAGCTTTCGCGCCATCACCACTTTTACATTCCCATGAATAATGTCCAAATTGATGACACGTATAACATTTAACTTGTGACTTGTCATACCTCTTTTGATATGGTCTTGCTCCTCCTCTGCCATGTCCTCTTGTTGAGTTGGATTGATAATTTTCATCTCTACGTTGAAATGAAATATGGTAACCTCTTCCTCCTTTTCCAAAGCCTCGTCCTTTGAAACTTGTATTTTCCTTTTCTTCCTTGTTTATCAATGTGAACTTTGATTGTAAAACATGCTCCAATGGCTCCTTCCTTCTTCGATTAAGCTTCTCTTCATATGCTTCTAATGATCCTCTTAATTCTTCAATTGTCATATCTTCCAAGTCCTTTGATTCTTCAATGGCAGTCACGATGTGGTCAAATTTCTCACTAACTGATCTAAGGATTTTCTCAATTAACCTTAAATTAGTCACATCTTCATCAAGCCTCTACATTTGGTTTACAACAGTCACCACTCTTGAAATATAATCCGACACCTTTTCGGATTCCTTCATTTGAATAGCTTCAAATTCACCTCGTAGATTTTGGAGGCGAACTTTCTTTGCCTTCTCCTTTCCTTTGCAGGCAATTTGAAGCATATCCCATAATTGTTTTGCTGTAGTAGCATTAGAAATCTTCTCAAAAGTGGCCTCATCCAATGCTTGGTGAATAAGAGAAACAACCTTTTGATCCTTCCTCTTAGTATTTTGTAAAAGATCCCTTTGTGCTTGGGTGAGAGCAGCTAGATCGGTAGGAGCCTCATAACCATTCTCCACGATATCCCATGCATCATGTGCACCAAGTAGTGCCTTCAGGCGGATGCACCAGTTATAAAATTTCTCTTTGGACAATTTTGGAACTTGGAAGGTGATCATGTTGGTATTTGCTATTGTTTCTAGTATTGTGGCTCTAATACCACTTTGTAGGAAATAGAAGTGGACTTAAGAGGAGGAAATGATTTTCTATTCAATTGTGGACTTACCTTCAACTCAAGATTACATAAGTATTTATAGGACTTCTTATCACACAAGTTCATCCCCTCAATTTAATTCTACTACATGCACCACAATTGACTAGGTACACATTAATTAATAACACATGCAAACATGAACCACAATTAACTAGGTGCATATTAATTAATAATACATGTATTTCAAACTCCTAAATTCATGAAACTAAATTAAATAGGTTAAATGCATGTTTATTTTTCTAACAGGAAGAAAAAGCTTCTTCAAAAAGTTAAATTTTATTTTTGTGAGGAACCATATTTATACTAGAGTGGGGCATATCAAATCATTCGAAGATGTATACCTGAATATGAGATGAAATCGATATTAGCATGAGTTCGTGCATCAACTTATAGAGGTCATTTCAATCCTTCTAAAATAGTAGCAAAGGTGCTTCAACGTAGTTTCTACCAGCCAATAGTGTTTAAAAATGCTAAAAGTTATTGCAGATGATGTGTTGTGTGCACTAGTAATATATCAACCGGACAGAAGATGACATTGAGCAACATTTTGGAAGTTGAGCTTCTTGATGTTTGGATATTGACTTTATGAGACCAATTCCTCCATCATACTCCAAGAGGCTAATCATTTTCACTGTGAACTGTGTGCCTAAATAGATAAAAGAAAAGGGCTTCCTTATCCATGATGCCATGGTGATCGTATGTGTGCGGTATATAAAAAATTAAATATACAATTGATATGGAGTTCTCATGGCCATGATTAGTGAGGGTAGAACTCACTTTTGCAATTATTTATTTAATACAATTCTACACATGTATGGTGTGTAACTTCAAGTGGCCATTGCTGCTAACCTCAAACAAGTGGATAGATCGAAACAACTAACAGGAAGTTGAAAGAAGATCTTGAAAATAATAGTAGATTCGTCTTGCAAAGATTGGTTCATAAAGTTGGATGATGTAGGCATACCACATGGCTTCCAAGATACCTATCGGAATGTCTCCATACCAATTGGTGTTTGGGAAAATATGTTATTTATCGATTGAATTTGAGTACAAGGCTGATTGGACGCTCAAACATTTGGACATAGATTTAGAAAAAGGCTGGTGAAATAAGACTTTTTTGGTTGAATGAGCTAGAAGAGTTTAGGTGGGATGCTATGAAATCATTGTAATCTTCAAGGAGCGTACAAAGTATTGGCATGATAAGAATATTTATCAAAGAGCACTTAAAGTCGAAAATCATGCACTTTTTTATAACTTCAGATTGAAGCTCTTTGGGAGTAAATTGCAATCTAAATGGCCCGACCTCCCTTAACAATTGTTAGGTTTTAGTTTTGTTTACTATTCTTCAGAGAAAAAGATTATTATAAAAGAGTTGTAAAAGTCAAGGAGTCTGTTGGGATATTTTATAAATAAGCTAGGAGTCTTTGGGTTCAAGTATGGAACATGGAGAAGGAGTCGCCGAAATTACGCTAGCCTCACGCTAAGCTTATGCTCGAGCGTCCAAAGTAGAATCATCACACCGCTTGTCACTTGCCTAACGCTAGCCTAGCGCTCAAGCGATGGTGTTACATGTGAAACCCTGGTTCTCATTTTTCAAAGGTTTTTTTTGATCCATACTAACTATGAAGTTTCACTATTCCCTGGGATTGGGTTCGGGCCTTTCCTATATAGCTTAGGTAGAAGGCGAATAAAGGACTCCTTCCAGGGGCTTGAGACATCAATGAGATGCCACTCTAGAAGAGATAGAATTCTAACCTTGCGTTAAGACTGACGGGCCATAGGACAGTCTCAGGTAGATAGTTTCTATGGGACATAGGCCTCCCAAAAGGTAACGAAGCCGTGTAAAAGTTTCTTGAGGCTGGATGGAGATTGGCCTTTCAATGCAAAGGTAGAAGGGAGTTTAACTGTAAGACTCAACCATCGAGCAAGGACAGAGTTGGCTTTAGTGATCTGACAATTTCGAGTGAAAGGGCCATCACTCAACGGATAAAAGTTACTTTAGGGATAATAGGTTGATCTTTCTTAAGAGCTCACACCGACAGAAAGTTTGGCACCTTGATGTCGGCTCTTCGCCATTTGGGGTTGTAGTACATTCCAAGGGTTGGGTTGTTCGCATATTAAAGCGGTCCATAAGCTAGATTCAGAACGTCATGAGATAGTTCGGTCCATGTCTAGTGTGGGCATTAGATCATTGAGATGACCTTTCTGTAAGTGTTATGTCCTATGTCCAATCAATTTTGGACATAAATACTTTTAATATATAATTAATACAATCTAATGGCAGATCTATTATTTAATCAATAGACAATTAATTTAAATAATAGTGCCCGTAGATTCAAATCTTCGTAATTTGTTAATCACAACGAGTTGTGATTGTGAGATACAAATTACATATGATTTAATCTTAAATCATTTGTGGTCGTAAGTAATAACGAGATACAGATATCGTTATTATGGATAAACCATCACGTGTGGCATTTCTTACTTGTGAAGTAAGTAGCTGATCACACAAGTTAAAGTGTGGTGACACTTAAATGAACACGTGGATACTTTGTTGTAGAACAAAACATTGGAGATCCATCGAGAGATTTCACATGGGTAACTATCTGAGTGTCAGTGGTTAATCTCTAACGTTTGGTAGTGAAATTGGTCATTTGACTTGAGGTCTTCATGGTACCTTATAAGAGGACAGTCATAGTTTGGCGTTATTGGATGTTGCTCTACCAAGGGCCGCTAATACGACATCGTTCAAGTATGTCATGAATCGTATGAAGGTTGTGAATGATTAATAGAGGACTTGTCACTCTTAGATAGTAGGAGATTATGATCCGCATTTCATTCAATTAAGTCGATAATGAAATCATTGGCTAAGATATACATAAGTCGAAAAGGAGATTTCAACTTATACTGACTTAATAGTGGAGTGAAAGATATGATCGATAATCGGGATTGACCCACTTCCATATCACGTAATTGATCGAATCATATTGACGAAGGAATTGCAATTTCACAATAAACGAACGAGATTGATTTTGTCATACCACATGACATTTCCCGTCACATGTATTGCCCTGACACATTACTAGATGTCAATCTAGGACGGCGAGTATGAATTGATGATAAATTAAAAGGGTATTTTAATTTATCAATTTTAATTAGATCAAAATAATATTTCACGTCATTAGGTATCGTGATCGGGATCCTAATGGGTCGCACATAAAAGGAGAACTGGAAGATTGTGATTTGTCAATTAATTAATTCAACAAGCGTTGGATAAATTAATTTATTGTGTTGCTTATTTATAGGACTGAATTGATTAATTGGATTAATTAATTCACGGATCGAATTTAATTAATTGAGTTAATTAAATATTGGACGAGGTTAAGCCAAGCCCATTCGGGCTTATATAAATATGATTATGGTTTTCAAAAATGGTAGAGATTTTTTTTATTCTTCTAGCACAAGAAAAATCCAAATTCTACAATCATGTTCTCTGTGTGGATCATCATTGGAGGCTGAAAAACTAGACAGCTGTGGGTCGCGAATCAAAATCGTTGGAGCAAAAATTAGCAAAGGAGTTTGCAGATCCCGAGAAAAGGTATCACTTTTATCACAATTCTATCTAAACACAAAGAGATCCGTGGTGGGAATTAAAAATTGATTTTATTTTTTGCTGCGCACGTTAAGTAGATTCCCAATAGTGGTATCAGAGCCTACTTTGTGTTTGTTAGAAATTGCTTAACATATTGTGCAATCAAAAGTTGGTTGTTTCATTTTTTTTTTAGTTTCTAGCAATTAATAACTCTCAATTTTTATTTTTATTTTTTTATTGAAATCTGATTTTTAAAAAATAAAAAATAAAAATAGAAAAAAGTGGATCTAGACCAAGGCCGTAGTAGCAACCGGCGACACACAGCAGTGTTCTGCATAGTGGCATCCAATGCCACTGTACGCCTGGCAGCGTCGGGCGCTGTTGCTATTGTAGCAGCAGCGCCGACTGCTAATTACAACAACGCTGCCAGGCGCTGTTGCTATTGTAGTAGCAGCGCCGACTACTAATTACAGCAGCGTCCAACGGCTGTTGGGCGCTGCAGCCTTTAGTGAAAAAGGCGCCGATAACGATCGACGCCTCCTTAAAGGAGAAGATTGGGTGAATTTTATTCCTTTAGGGTTTCTGCTGAATTAGATTTAAAATGAAGACAAGGCTCCATCTGAAATTTTGGAAATTTCAGGCCCTTGACTGCAATTTCAAAATAGAGTCATTTTGCAATTTTTAAAATGCGGGTTTGTCATGCAATTTTTGAAATTGAGGGACTTGCTTTTAATTTAATTCTTGGGCCAACTTGCAATTTTCAAAAAGGTTTTGAATTTAAATATTAAAATGGTTTTAAAGTTGGGTTTTTATTTATGTTTGACCCATAATTTTAATTTTGACCCAAATTAAAATTTTATTTAAAATTGACAACTTTTTATATTTTCGTTAAAATATGATTTTAACTTAAATATTAAACCATGACCTTAAATTGAATTTTATTTTATTTAGGAGTGTTATCCTAGATTAAAATATTAATTAAATTTAAATTAGAGTTGGACTCTAATTTAATACTTAATTAAAATATGATTTTAATTAATTACTCACCCGAATATATTCTAGAAATTAGAATTGGATTCTAATTTAACATTTAATAAAAATTTGATTTTAATTAAATTGTCTTACCTTAAAATTTTCCTTGGAATTAGAGTTGGACTCTAATTTATATTTAATTAAAATCTGATTTTAATTAAATAATTCACCCTAGTATTTCTTGAATTTAGAATTGGATTCTAATTTGATATTTAATCAAAATTTGATTTTGATTAAATCTTCCCACCCTAAATTTCTGAAAATTTTAGAGTTGGACTCTA